TCATTGTCACGACGTTCCGTCCTTCTTATTAGTCATACTTGTCAGAGACTTTCCTTTAGGGGTCTCAACATCAACATAATTGAAGTATGACATGACGGACCCCATGACGGTCCGTCGTACTTACGAAGAGCCATCACCTGGTCCGTGGTGTTTCACTGTTACTACAGAAAAGTCATTACAGCTTAGCTCTTATATTTATTTTGTGTCATTTTTGCTCGTCTTGTTTGCTCGTTCTCATACTAATACTGATTCTTTACAGGTACTATCTCTAATGGCACAAAAATATGATCGAGTTTATGCACATGGGCAATAAAATTCTTTCGCCTCGTCTGCCCGCCTGGTCATACAATCTGATGATGAGCGTTACCCAACTACGTACCCCCAGGCAGTGCCACACAATCATGAGTTGCACGGGCTACCAGAGCTATACCCAAAAAGGTGGTGTTCAGCGTAGTCACTGCCTCCTTGTCTGATGAGGAGCGCACACTGACCGGCACACCTTCTAGGTCAGCAAGACATGAAGAAGGAGCGTCTGGCTTCTTAGGAGTTTCGTGGTTGGAGGATGCCTCCGGGTCTGCCAAGGTCCGTCCCCCCGCCACATCTGCACAGTCTGCCTCTTATGATTAGGTTGACAGTTCTGATTCCAATCCTGGCTCACCGACTCGTACTCTTACCCTAGTTTTCGACCAGCCCAACTGGTGGTGTGTCGACGGGCAATATAAAGTTTATTCACACGCAAAGTTTCTGAATTATAAAGGACTCATGACACGATCCGTTAGACTCTTGAGGCGGGTCCTTATGGGTAGTCTTCCCTCCATGCCAGAGATCCACAATCTCTTCCGTAGACAACGACTAGAGTGGACAGCGCGTTCTTTGGGACCTTATAGTGAGGAGTTGGTCCGAGAGTTCTACGCCTCTTACGTGGCTACTCTCAGATCAAAGATAGATAGGCGGGCTACCCCCGCCGAACAGGCCTTACTTGAGCATGTCTGAGTACGTGTTATTCAGGTCGATATCTCCTTGCCTTTCATCCGCCAGTATCTATACGGAGAGCATGTTGATGCCAAACGGACCCCTCTCACCGCTGAGTTCGACTACTAGTTGCAAATTGTAAAAGATGGCCAATTTTTGCGTGAGCCATTGTTGAGAGAGACCACTAAGAGGTGGATGGACTTCCACTTGTCTGTTGATGGAGAGGGTGTACCGACTGGGTAACAGAGCCGAAGAAAGCCATCAAGAAGGCTAACTTGACCTTCACGGCAAAGTTCTTATTGGTAATTGTCCGCCACTACCTTTCCCCCACGGCCACTGATAATATAGTCACATGGGAAAGTGTAGTTTTGATGGCAGCGATGATAGCCTTGAGGTGGACTTTGCTTGGCTTCTATAGGCGGTCATGAACGAGAGGGCTTTTAAGGTCACAACACTTACCCTTTTCCGTGCATGATATTTTCCCTATGCAGGTCCGCAGGTGTGCCCATCTTGCACATTGATCAGCTCAAGACTCCGTTGTGCACATTGATCAGGTCCTAATGAGTTGGCTTCACTCAGAGGGTCCCGTCCACAGTTGACTCCACTTGGTGAAGATCTGGATAATACAGTAGCACATGCTTGCACGGCTACGGAGGCTGCTTCAAAAACCACTAGCACTACTACGGTCGAGTCTATCTTGGGTAGCAGTACTACTCCGAGCTCCTCTCGCTCAGCCCCTCTCCCCGCTCTAATCCTGCTTGCTAGGGTCCAAAAACTAGAGGTACAGATGTCTACACTTCTGCATCACATCGAGCCTTGAATGTAGAGGTCTATTGGTGAGACAGAAGAGAACTTGGAGCGCAAACTGGTCCAGCACATAAAGCGGAAGATCACTGAGGTTCATTAGCGCTTGAACGCTTTTCAGTTGCGGGTGCTAGCCCGTCCAGCCCCTCAGGTGGACGTGTCGACCCTTCAGGCTGTTGTCGAGAGTCTACGAGCTTACATTGATATGATCCTAGAGGCTAAGGTTCCTGAATTTGAGGCCCCTTCTGCAGATCCTACTGAGGACATAGTGATGGCGTCCTTATTCGCCACTTTGGAGATTCCAGCACCACCCCCTCGAGAGAATGCCTAGAGGCGCAAGAGTCAAGAGGAGGATGAGGCTGGAGCACGAAAGAAGGTGCGCTATGATATAGAGGCTGCGAGAAGAGACTCGCTTGCTGTTGAGGAGGCGCATCGGATTAGGGCTGTAGAGTCAGCTGTTAGGGCATCTAGCTCCAGATATGTGGCGATAGAAGGAGGCACTGCTGATAGTGCTGCTGCTGATGAGGACAGTACTAAGGGTGTCCATACTATAGAGGTAGTGGGTTTTTGGGAACGGAATCCACCTGCTGTCTGATCGTCGGCACTTTGCACACCAGGTTTACTTCACCTACCACTCTCGTATTTCAATTATTTATACACTGGGAGAATTGGTTTTTTTTGTTAGGGGTGGGTAAATGGAAAGTGAGTGCTAGGGTGAAGTCTGAGTATCCAAATTCACTATTCTCTTTTGGGGTTTGATATTGACATTAGGTGCAGCTGGTTGGAGAGAAACTACCACTTGGTAAATTAAAACCCTGAATCTTGTGCTTGAGGTTGATATAGTACTAAGTGTCATGCCTAACACTAATGCAATGATAAGGAAATCTCTGATCTGGGCTTTAGAATTTTTAATTTATATCCATGGATTTTGATAAAACTGGGTTGATATATCCAGTAGCAGTCAGTCGCTTGTACAACTTAATTCGGCTTTCTGTGAGCGCGGTGAAATTCCTCAAACTTTTCTTGTCGAACAAAGGTCGAGGGGGATCATATCTTCCTTTTGGGGGAGGCGTATATTGATAACCTCGATTGTTCGGAGGGTGAGCTTAATTTCTAGGATATGAGTTTGTCTGGTAGTTTGGCATTGGAGCTTGGTAGTTTGGGTGGGGATTTTGATATGGTGGAGCTTTGACTCGAAACACAGGAGGAGGTTCGCGATAGCTCGACTGCACGTTATAACAGTTGGAAGCAACATCCTGGTAGGGAGATGGAATTTGGTAGGGTGGATGATGATTTGGATAAATGGGTGATGAATTTTTGTAATTCAGTGGTCGACTTTGATATAATGGAGGTTGGTCATTTGGATAAGTGGAGGTAGTATTCGGATTAATTTGAGGAGTATTGGGATGACTAGATTGCGTATAGCAAGTTTGGTATGAATTTTACAAAGGCCGAGAACGACCTTGAGAATATGACGAGCTTCTGGGGGTATTTCTACCCCAATATGAAACATCAACGGTTTCTTCTCTTTTCTTCTTCAATGTTCCTGATGATTTGGATGATGCAGCAACACGGGATATTTTTCTTATTTTCAACCCATCTTCGATAGTCTCACCAACTTTTACTATCTCAACAAATTTTTCTCCTACGAGCAATAAAGTTTGATCATAATACTTTGGATCTTGCACGTGCAGGAATACTTCTACAATTTCCTTTTCTGACATAGGTGGTTTGACCCCTGCTTCCTTTCTCCACCTTTCAGCAAATTCTCTGTAGCTCTTAATAGATTTCGGCTTCATCTTATCCAATGAATATTGATCATGAACTATTTCGACGTTATGCACAAAATCCATTGCTAGAGCATTCCGATTGGGCCATTGTCTGGTTTTATGCGAGGTGAACTATTCAAGAGCTTCTTCGCACAAACTCCGGCAGAAGTGCTGCATCAGTAAAGCTACATCCCTACCAACTCCAACAACTTGGTCATAGTAGGATATCAAATGATCCATAGGGTTCCCCACACCTCCCAAAGTATCATATTTGGGAATTTCGAACCCTTCTAGAAGGTCAAAATTTGGATGAATACATAAATCTTCATAACTAAGCCCAACTATATCAGGGACGCATTGGAGCTCTTTCATGGCTTTCATGATCTCTTCTTTTATGTCCGGCTTTTCCATCCACTCCTTTTCATGTTCCTTCTAATGGAAAGTGGTTATTTTACGTAAGGGTGGAGATACAGAGAGACTCTGGGCATTTTGAACCGTTTGATAATTGTGTGGGTAAGTATGAGGATTGGTATTCTGATTTAAGTTGTAGTGGGGTGTTTGGGGATAAGAAGTATTTTGGCTTTGATTTTGCGGTGGTGGAGCGATTAAATGATGGGTATTTGGAGGATGGGGTGGCATTCGGTGGTGGTTGTTTTGAGGAGGGGTGTAGTTTTGTAGGATGTAGAAGTATATTGTTGATTTTGGGTAGTCAAATCTATAACCGACGGATTTTGAGAAGGTGTAGATGGATGGTTCTGGGCTGGATCCATATTTGAAGAAGATAACTAGATTGGAGGTCTCCCATTAGCAGCGTTAGCACCAAATCTTTGTGGAGGCAGATCCTGTCTCCTTTGAATTTTATTCTCATCTCTGCAATATGTTGCATCAGCTGCAAAATAAACTCATTTTGGTCCGCTATAGTCGGTTGAGACACCACAAAATTAGTAAGACTTAATTCTTCATTACTACCCCCATAACTATCTTTCCTTTCTCTGAGCTTTGCCTAGGGAAAGAATCTACGCGACCTTTTGATCTGGTAAATAGGGATGATCTTCAAGTTTTTGATTGATACAGATCACTTTCAAAAATCCTGAGAAGGAAAACAACTCAAAGACTGATTTTTTAGTGTAGATTCAAAATACAAAATGCATGATATCACACAGAGAGTATATAAACATACAAGTTGCTTTCTTTGAGGATATTTTAAACTCACGAGTAAGGAGGGAAACACATTTTTAACAAGCAGGAGTTTGCTAGTTTTAGTTTTGACACTGTCTGAAAAAGGCTAAATCACATTAGGCTACTGTTTTCTTGAAGCTGCTCTTTGAAGTCCGTTGATTTGGTCTTTGTATCTTCTCGTAACATGAATGGGGAGACTGAAAATTTATAAAGTTAGGGGCTGGGCTTGGGAAGGCTGCCTTCGTATCTCACAAGAAGAATTCAATCCCAGCATAGTTCGAGTACATAAAGGAAATATTTTCATTCATTCATTCGTTAGGAATACAAGGAAATGGAAAAACAATAGAGCTTTAAAGATAATATAAGGACTCCATCTCAATAATTTTTTTCTCTACATCATCTTTATCTTATCTGTGGCGTGTTGATGATAAGGATTTCGTGTTCACGAATTTTGGTACAACTCGTAGAGTGTTCATCTTCTCGTCAGGGTTGCGTTGCAAATGCATCAGAAAAGCCCTTGTATCATCTATCTCTTGTGACGTTACAGCTAAATCCCTCTAACTTTATAACTCTCGGAACTGGTACTCATGCTCCCTTTGCTGAAATTCTTGCTCTTTGTTATAAAATTCTTGCTCCGTTTGCTTAAATTGTTGCTCCCTTTGGTCCAATTCCTGCTTAAAATGGTATGCATGGATCTGAAGACTTGTCTGTACATCTTCAATTTCCTGAACTACGCCTGGTAATGGGTTCATTACACCATGCATATCATTCTGCAATCATGTCTTGTATTCGTCTACATACCTAGCTTTATATCTATTTTTCAGCCATATCTCATTTCATGTTGACACGTCTTGCCCATTCTTGGAGGATGATCTTAGCGAAAGGTATTTTTCCGCTCCCACTGTAATTGACAACAAAAGAACTAGCATCCCCTTAGACGGGTGTGATTTGTGTTTTACAAAATTGTCGCATCACTCTTGCTGGGTTGTACGGTCGTAATCCTCTGATGCCAGGAAGGACTAAAAATGGATGTTTGGCCCCCTGTTCTGCTATCCTCTCTGAATTGAAGTTCAGTAACATTCATTGTATATCTTTTTCTCTAGAATCATAAAATACCCTTTCCGACGTATCCCTGGTGGTATAAATTGGGAATCTGCAGATGCTTAGTTAGAATTCATAATTATTGAAGGGAATCATCTTGCTTGGCTTTGCCAACTCTTGTTGCTGGGCACCGTCCCTTTTGCTGTGATGCTAAATCATCCACCATTAAAGTAGAATTTTGCAACCTTTGAAAAACGGAACCCATTCTTACACAAACATAATGATCGATAAATATCGGCCAAAATGATCGGGGCCAAACTACAATATTTCTTTTCTTCTCATTTCTTACCAATTTCTCTGAAGATGGAGTCTACTACCATCACAACCCGAGTGTTCATCTCATTTCCTTCATCTTTAGGGAATACCATTGTTCCGAAGAGGCATGCTGAAAATGCAATGACATGAGTTTTTCTCCAAGCACTATGACCATGGAATTTGTTTGGAAATTGCACAAAATAGCTATTGTGCCCGTATATTTTGAATAATCTAATTAGTGTTATACTTTGGGCATCAAATCAGTTAGCCCTTACCAGGTACAACATGTCTCTTGATTCTCCAGTATTTGTCCTATCTGGAAGAAGGATGTCATGATTAACATATTTTTCCTCTTGCCATATGTAATGATAGAGTCCAGACAATCCTTAATTTCCTCTAGTGTGGGTGTTTTTTTGACATCTCCAAATAGAAAAACCATCTTCTTATTGGTCCAAAACCGAGTAATAACCTCGATAAACGTGGGTCAAACCTTGAATTCCATTATTGATGGTAAGTGACAAATGTTAATAGAGTTTTCTTTCTTTTGACAATCTTTGAGGTTGTCCCATCATACGCCGAGAATGTCCGGCGTCTTGATGACCATGTTAAAATGAAGGAACTGACTCAACACCTACAAAAACATACAACTAGTTTATTGCCACCACCCACAATACAATAAAAATTTAAAAATGCAATCCATCCTTTAGATCTAACACGCAAATATGATCGTCCTATCGAGTCGTGGGCTCTTTGGATTCAAGGCGGTCTTTCTAATGGGTCAAGCACTCCTTGGGTGTTGGGTCGTCTTTGGACAATGCGCTCTTTTTAGGGATAGGGTTTCACTCAATCTTAGCTTAACTAGGAGTGAGTTGTATTTAGAGTTTAATGGGTAACCCAAGAAGACTACTTGGGCTACAGTAGTTAATGATCATTGACTATCAAGTAGCCAACTACACTAGTCAGGCTGCCCCAAGAAATTTTTTGGTTAATGAATGATTGCGAACCCGCATAATCATCCTTTAGTGGAAATAATTATCGTTTTATGGAATTATGATATGCCATGAATGCAATAATTCGCTAAAGCGATATAAAAAAACAGATAAACAGTTAACTGACATTGCCAAAACATGTTAGTTTTATGGTTAGAATCCTCCAAATACTCCCCAACAAAGCCTCCATTTCAATTTTATTTGAAAAAAAAAGAAAATTATTTATTTGAGTAAGGTTTCAACTTTTTAGAATGTCATTTAATTTTTGAAGAAAAATTAAGAAAACTCTGTTGTTAAAAGACCTAAACAGAAAAATCATTGTGAAGACTTTAAAGGGGTTCACGGATTCAAAATTTTAATTTAGGAAGGTTGTTAAAATACCTTAAATATCCGCATAATACGGCTATCTGACAACTAACTTTATATTTCGCTAAAATCACTTAATTCTTAAAAATTACTTAGAAGGGTAAAGAGTTAAAATATTAACCTATTATCTAAGTGAGTTATTTGCAAATTTAATGATTTGATGTTGATAAAACATCTAAGGCGTTTGTGGGGAGTTCAGAGTTTTCTTAACGTAAAACTAACACACACATAAAGCAAGTAAATAAACAAGAAATAAGAGAGAGGGAGAGAGATTTGAGTCAAAATCTGGGTTCTGTTCGCCTTGACTGATTTTTGGACCCACCTGTTTTGGGCTTTTAACCCGTTTGTTTTGGGTCTTTGGCCCACTTTATCTATGCATGGCCTAAATTCTAAGAACACAATAAGTAAATAATATAATAGGTTTAGGACCAACAACAACAAAATGCAAATTTTAAGGAAAAAAAAATTTGGGTCGTAATAATCTAAAGTTCCTTAACTCTTCAAATGACTCCATATTTTTTAATTTGGGGGCCTTTTCGTCGATTTCGTGTCTTGAATTCAATCATTTAAAACATAGTTTTACTCGAAATAAGGGATTGGGACTTTGTTACACAACATGCGATTGTAGGTGGAGTCCATGAGAACTCAAGGAATTCAGATGCAACCAAACAAACGAAATGAATTAATATATAAATGAATTCAAACACTTTGACGCAAGGAAAATCATTCGAAGGAATTGAACACATTTAAACAAAATAATTGAGATCTAAAAAGAGAGCTTGAAGGTATTTGTACAGACCAACTAATAAATATCGAGCTCAAGTATAACACTAAGAGCATCAAAAAATATTTTATCTAATATGATTATAAAGAAAAATAACATGAAATATAACAATCAGTTACTTCACATAAAAAACAGATTTGTAACTTTCTTAAAAGATATTTCAAGGAACAAAGCCAAGGATAAGGCCACACTCATGATCCTTTAATCTAATGAAATTCACAAACAGCAAAATGAGACATAAACGGCTTACTGTAACCCATAAAACAATTAACTAAATTATGACAAGATGAATTGAAATAATTGGAACTAACATAGATAACAAATGCAAACTAGTTAAAGAGTTTTTTTTCAAAAAAATATGAATAGAGGAACATGTTGGCAGAAAACAAAGAAGACACGCACAAACCAGATCCCCCAAAATTTGACCGTACATGCTTGAGTATAAAGAACACAACATACAATTTGAAGTCCAAAATATCGATGCAAGAATAATATTAAGAAGCAAAGTGATTGATAAGAATGATAATCTGTGCGCTTCGAGTAGATGACAAAAATATAACATCAATGATTATAATAACTTAAATGAAACATGAGCAATGAAACAAGACATTAATGTGGAAAGATTGGGACAACACCAAATAAGATGCCAAACTCCAAGCGAAATGTGGAAGGAAATATCATATTCGAATGATTGTTATTTCGAGTGATCAAAAATCACCAATAGCTCCTAATACTTTTAAAACCCCAAAACTTGAATGTCTTATATGAGGGCCTAAAACACCAGAGTAAAAAAACTCAAACCCACGGCCCGTTTAAAAACCACTGCCCGTTTGCCTCCGTGAAGAACAACTCGGTTTCACTGTTTCATGTTATTAGAAAACATAAATTGCATTTTTGACTTAACAAACAGGGATCTTCAACATATGACAAAAAAAATGACATCGGAAAATTAATATCGACGGGAATAAACTATTCACAAACCAAACATTGAAACCATAAAGAACCAACTAATTTTGTGTACATGAAGCCAATGATGAAAAGGTAAGGACTTAGGACGAATGGGAAGGGACAAGCGAAATGAAACATAACTAACAACATGAACGAACAGACAACAACTTGAGAATATTTTGCAACTGATAAAGGGCTGAAGATTTTCCAAAATACTAGCACATGAACATCTTGCACAATTGAGAGTTGAACATACAAACACATTAAGAATAAACTACATTTGAAACATAATGTGAATTACCTTTTAGAGGGAAATGATCTGAGAACTCGAACAAGGAACGACTCCACCACCACGCGTTCGACTCAAACAACATTTAGATAAATTGTGCCAGATGTTGGACTCAAACTGAAATTTGATTCCCTGTTTTTCTGGAACTAAAGTTAAAACTTCTTAGCTAAGAATTCAAAATGTTTATTGTATTTCCAACTAAAATTTTAACTTTGTGAAGAATACAAAACTCTGAAAGAAAGAAAAAAACCCATTTCTAAAGAACAAAACCATACATTATATAGGCAGAATTAGGGTTCCTAACAGGGGAAAAATGGATCGAGTTCGAATTTACCCCCAAGACCCATTTAAATTTCAAAAACCTAAATCTTATCCCCAAAATTGAATATCCTTTGATTCCGATTGATTTTAAACTTATAGCAGGCTAGGTGGAGGATTGAGATCACTTTCTCGTAGTAGACGGGCGTCGTGTAGTCATCTCACCTTGCCAATGATGAAACGTGCCTAGCATGGATGTTGTACGGGTAAAACCATGAGAGAGAAGAAAAGGAGATGGAGACGTTGGGACGCGTTGTGTCCACCATGCACGAAGGGTATCATTGAATTTGTTATAGACGCGCTGATGTTGCAGTTTTCGACTTTACTTCTGCAAATTGTACCCGTCTCTGAGTCAACAGAGGATATTAAGAAAGAGGACGGGTCGGATCGTGGGATGAGTTGTTGTTGATTTGAATTGGGCCTATGTTAAAAGGGAATTGGACTGGGGTTGCTTTTTTTATGAAATTGTCTTAGAATCGGGGCCCGCTAAAAATTGAAGGAGAGGAATTGGGCCTGCGGTTAGTGAAAATCTGAAGAAAGGCCTTAATCTTGGTCTTTTAGTTAAGAATATTGCAAATTTAGCCAATTAAATTGTAATTAGCCAATTTGATTAAATTTTAAAATAAGACGAATTAATATAACTAATTGACAAGCTTCTTAAATTTAATAAATTAAAATAATTTAATTAACTATAAACTAATTAAAATAAAAAATATAAGTTATTACTTAAACCACACTACTTGTCGAAATATTTTATAAAAACTAAAATCTAATCATAAAATATACTAAGTATATACAAATTTATGTAATATATATATGTATTATATAAAAATTATAAGAAATGGCAAAACTATTCAAATAATGCAAGTCTTATATTTTTCTTATATATATAAAACAAATTATTTTAAAATGCTAGAAAATAAGAAGCTTGTTAATTAATTTGTGTCGATGAGGGTCAAATTGGGTGTCAACACACATAACATTTATCACAACCATGTCCCAGATGCAATGCAAATTACTCGTTCAAACAAACAATGAGGAAAATAACCATTTTGATAACAAGACACATTTAACAACTATGCAACAGTAATACAACATAAATGAATAAACAATAAGCCTACAAATCATTCTCAAATGTTATACAATGAAATACAAAAAATTGATGTTTATACAATTCATATTTTCCCAGTTTCAAGCCTAGGGTTAAACTTCAACTTCTCCAATACAATAAATGAAATGATATATATACAATTCCTTGACTTGATATTTAATTACCTCTCTCAATATATTAACTATTCTAATTTATAAAATGATACTTGAAAAAAATTATTAATTTTTAAATGTAGCCGGTTATGCAAAAGAAAAACTCACGAGATTCAAACAAATTATACTTTACGGACAATAATTGCATTATGCTATTAATAACATTCACACCCACCATATTTTAACTTCAACTCCCTTCTGTTAAACCCCAAAAATGTACTAACAACTCTTCCATTCTAACACTTTATTCCAATCCAATGATTGGCTCATTTTGGCCAATCATTGTCCCACCATCATATACTTAATCAGCCTATATGCCTTAAATTTCAAGAATACCTCAGTGTCCGCTTTATCAAACATACAACAATATACCGTAATTCCCATCCGATATATTTTTACTACATAATTTTTATTCTATTATCTATGCTTGCCCTCTCTAATGACAATCATTAATTTTGGCCTCACCGAGCCTCCAAATTTACCCAATTACAAATGACACTAAATCAGAAGAGAACATTAACTATTCCTTAAACCCAAATTCTTAAATTCATTAGAGACTCCCTTTTAACACACCATACATTAGATAAAACAATTATAACAAATTGACACTACTAATTGTTACTTGAACAACTTCGTCTTCTTCGTTTTATGCCGCTTCTTCCATTCTTTTTTTTTATCTTCTAATTAATAGTTTATTAAAATTTAAAAAATCCACTAACTTGTTCTTTTAATACATGGACTAATAGTATAGGGTCTTAAATAAATGATCACTTTATCCCACTAACTATCGATTAATTCAATTATTTGTAATTATTCCTTTATTAATTAACTCGAGTTAAACTAATATTTCAGATTTTCCAAAAATGAGATCCTGGGTCATTACATTATCCACTAGTAAAAACCATGTTCCTTCCCAAAAAAAAAAGCAATATAAAGCAAATGGATCTTTGAAAAGCTGAGGCTATTTGGCACGCATTTCAGACTCTTTCTCCCAAGTTGCCAATCCTACTGAATGGTGCTTCCATTCCACCTTCATTAAAGCAATATCCTTGGCCCTAAGCTTTTCAACTTTCCTATCCAATATAGCTATAGGCTTCTCCTCATATGTCAAGTATGGACCAATCTAAACATAATCGAGTGAAAGCACATGACATTAATTCGGAATATACTTCCGAAGCATATTGACATGGAAAATAGAATGAACTACGGTCAAACTAGGTAGCACGACCAACTTATAGACCACTTTCTTACTCAGCTCAAAATCTCAAAAGGTCCAATGAATGTATGGCTAAGCTTTCCCTTCTTTATGAACCACAACAAAGTCCATAGTAATATGTTCCTAGTTAAGTTCCAAGTAGGAATAACCATCCTTTAAGACACATCTACCGGGACGCTGGTGCTCACACTTCACCTGCTGAAAGTCAAACAACTCAAAACAAAATCTAAAATATCTCCCTTCGTTTAACAACACCAGTTATGCATACTCACATCATTATACATCTTCGCCTCTGCCGGATGGATGGAATATTAAGAACAATGTGCCTTTTCGAGAATCAATCCAATAAACTTGCCCGTCTTGGGCACACAAGTACTGCCTCCGATCTTTAACACCTCATTAGAATCAAGGACAATCTACTTGGCTTTCCCATTCAATACTTTGTCTTGAATACGACCTAGTTTCTTATTAATCAAACAGGTTCACATGAATATGTTCGACTAAAGAAAATTGAGCCTCAGTAAAAGCAACCATCAAATCACTCTCATCCGAAATATGCAAACAGACAAGAATGTTAGCTAATATTTATACATCTATAGCCAATGTTTGATACACACAAATTATACTTCCGTAAAGAAGTATAAGCAGCCATATCAAGTAAAGAGACCAATTATTAGGTTGTGGTTGATCCCACGAGGAAAATGGTTTAGACTTAACTTAAATCTACGATTACGTCTATTTAGTCAAGTTCTTTCCAAAAAAAATTAGTTGAATGGGAGGGATTTCTGTAACAAAACATTTTAATTATTTCTAAGTAAGACAAATAGCAAGTTTATAACTTCAGTGTTTTTCAAGTAATGAGAGAAACCAGGGTGTAAGTGTTCCCCATAGGTTTATAACGCGGTAATCCTAGCTAATACAATCTTTTCCTAGTATCTTGCATGCAAGCTGATAAGTTCTGTATCCCCGATTTCTTGGTCCGACAACTAGAGAATTTCACTCCGTACCTTGGTCAGGCTACATGTGTATACTTCACTAAACCTGACATTTACCTCATATTAAGCATCATATTCAATGTATGGCTAAGCTACTACTTTGCATAAATTGAAACTAGCCTATTAGATAGTGTATACTAAATCTATGTTGATAATTCTTTTCTATCAACTACCTCCTTGGTTGGGCAAGTAGAAATAGGGCAAGTTATTACATGTGCACTTGTTAAATACACTTCTAAAAAAAATAATTATCAATACATGCAATACACTATTACAGAATTGTTATTTAGCTAGTTTAACTTGTTAATTACCCATGGTTCCCACAACCCTAGTTGTGGATTTAGTTACACATGCTAAGAATTACACAATTTATAATAGTTAAATAAGAAATCATGTACTTACTTTAACATGTTTTTATGAAAACCCCACTAAAATATTAATAGAAACGATTTCGGAAAATTCAAGTGTTTCCCAAAAACCAAAGTTTTTCTTTCTGTAAAACAAATATGAAAAATAGTAAAATGTCAAACCCCTAAAACAATATTCTTAGTCATAAGTATAATAATAAATTCCTAAAATTAAAAGGAGGTCTATTTAATGAAAAAAAATCTGTCCAAAACGCGTCTTCAGTCGACGACCATACCGACGGCCCATTGATGGAACGACGGGCCGCGACAACTTTCGTCGGTCCATAATTCAAATATTTTTAGCTTCCACTTTTCAACACTTTCTGTTACCATCGACGGACAAACAACACGGTCTGTCAGTTGACTAACGGTCCGTCGATGGCCTCCGCTCCACCATACTTAGTGGTTTCTTCATGTCAGGTACTGGGTATCTCCTTCTGTAGCCCCAAACTTGGTCATATTTTCCCACTTAAATTTAAGTTGCTTGGTCCTTCAGTCAAAGATCATAACCTATAGACCGTCGATTGCTCTGTAGGTCATCACTTCGGCAGATTTCAGCAAAGTCTTCAGCGTTTTTGTTCTGGACTATTTTCCTACAAATATAGAGAAAAACACATTAAAACAACTATAAAAATGCCTTAGATACACACAAAACTTAAGGAAAAAGCATTGGAAGTACCGTGAAGCCACGTTACATCAACACCCTCAACTTAAATTCGTTGTTTGTCCTTAAGCGACATATTATGACTCACCACAACACCTTTGTATAAAAGTATCTTGTTTTAAGCTTTCACAATCATCTAGCTATCAATCCCGATTATTTTCATTACTTTTATGCATGATATCACTCTTAGGCTCATTCATGTGGATCAGACCATGACCCAATCTCACTACACATCAACAACTCTCCTCTTATATCTCTCACAAAGGTACCAACTTTCCAATATTGCAACTATTGTCCTCACATTAAAAACAACATCCTTCTTTTTCACATAGTGATTTCAATTTGAGTGTAAGGATTACTTTTGAACACTCGCTGTCAGAACCAATTAACACCTAGTAGATATTTGTCGCCATAGGCTTTCCCTTATTTTCTCTACTTTATAGTCACAATATTAGACTCTCAGGATCATGATAGGACTTTCTTGGCTTCTAATGTAGGCTAAGGGTTAGGTAGGGTGCATTTTGATGCATTTTAGTGACTTGTTGCGCTCCTTGACATACATACTAAGCGTCCTACCTTTTAATAATTTATTATGCCCTTTTCTTCATCTTCTTATATCTTATGTCTTCCTTTTCTTTACCTTTGTGAAAATTATCCTTCTTTCATATTTATTTCTAGATTTTCAAAATTTTCACTTGATTTCAACTTTGATTAAGGCACTTTTTTTCTGCTTTGCCATGAGTCAAAGTATACAATCCCCAAGGTTGGGTAAGATGCAGGACAAGCTTTGTTTCTGAATTAG